AAACTTCGTGCGTCGGCTTGGTGCGCGGCGGGGCCTTCCCTGCGGCGAAGGGAGTCGCAACTGCACTTGCGGCGGCAGGCGTAGTGACAGTAGTCGGCGCATTAGAAGTGCGGTGCTGGTCGCTGCGGCCAGCATTTGGGATTGGCGTTGAACTCTCGTTTGGCGCCAAAACTTCTTCCCGCTCCGCCAATTCCTTCTCACGGCGCCGCTTTTCTTCATGCCGTCTGCGCCGCTCCTCATCCTCGGGCTTCGGCGCCTTCTCCTCCGAAGCCTCTCCATGCCTTTTTTTTGCTTTCCTTCTCCTCACTCTTGCTGGCTTGTGACTCCTCGCTTTTGCGTGCCTTGCTCTGCGCCTTTGCCTCCTCTTGTCTCTGCCGCTGTCGCTGTCGCTCTGCTTCGGCCGCCTCGGCCGCTGCGGCCCTTTCCTCCTCTTGTCGCTGCCGCTGTCGCTGTCGCTCTGCTTCGGCCGCCTCGGCCGCTGCGGCCCTTTCCTCCTCCTTTGCCCGCCTCCTCTTCTCTTCCTCTTCACGCTTTTTCTCCTCTTCCTTCCGCTTGCGCCGCTCCTCCTTTTCCTTCTCCCGCTCTTTTTCCTTTTCCTTTTCCCGCTCTTTTTCTTTTTCCCGCTCCGCATCCTCCGCTTCCTTGGCAGGCGCCTTCTTCGTCACCGCCGGCGGTTCCCCGCCGCCCCCTTTCGCCGCCTGCACGGCAGCCGTCTTCTGCTCCTCACTGAGCGCGGCGCACGCCGCCAGGGACTGCAGCAGCTCGTTTGTATGATCCGGCTCCTGCCCCGCGACGACCTTCGATGGCTGCACCGCCAGCTTCTTCCCCGTCCCCGCCTCCACGGCCGCGACAAGCAGCGTCAGGAACTGAATCTTCCTCGCCTTATCCGTCACGTTGGCGCTGTCGAGCATCTCGTCGGGGAAAAGCCCCTTCGGGAACCCCGTGACCTCAAGAAAGCCTGTGACGATGTCGTGCAGAAAGCGAAACGGGGGCTTCATCAGGAGTTTCTCAGTTAACTTGGGCGCGGAGATGATCGCGCCCAGCTCATTTTGTGTCTTCTCCACGTACGCCTCGGGCATCGATGCAAGACGGGGGAGGGCGACGTCGCCTTCTGGACGCCTGCGCGAGACCAGAGAGAGAGAGAGCGCGCGAGAGAGGCCACCCTCGGATCGGGCAGTGCGAGTCCTCCAAGGGAAAAGAGTTTCTTTGACTTAGTCCTGCCACCGGCGCTGGCGCACCCGCACTCACTCAGAGTTAAAAACAAAAAAAGCGAAAAAAAAAAAGAAATAGAGAAACAAAGAAAAGGGGGTCACAATTCAGGGCCCGGCGACGGAACACCGGCAATGTTGAGTGTGCGCACAATAACTCAGCACCGCAGCAACCGCAGGGCATAATAGACGCATGCAATGTCTACTTAATGCATCTACTGCAACCACCTACCCCCCGGTGGGACGCGTACACTCAGACATATATGTCTATATAATTTTTCTCTTTTTATGCATCTATTCGCAATCCCTCACGGCCTGAACTCAAGGCGGGTTTGCTCAGGGCCACCGTCCTCGTGTAGTACGTCGATTTATCGGCACCCATCGCCCGCAGCACCCGCACCCACCGCTCATCGTCCATTTGGTGGTGCAACGTGTCGTCGAGAAACACCACCCTGGCGTTCGCCAGCACAGCCTCCAATGCGTTGCGAACCTTCTGGGAGTAATGCAGTAGACCAAGACACATTTCACAGGCAGGGGCGACGGCAGTGAACTGCTGCAGTGGCCTTCGCTCTTCTTTCTTCGGCGGCGCCGTCCTCGGGATGGCTGTCTTCTGCCGTGTGGACGCCGTGGCCGCGGCGTAAGGGCTGCCCGCCGGCCTACACCGCTCTTTCGCACCGACTGCGCGCGGGGGCACCTCACGTCCAGGCATCTTAACATGGTGGTGAAGCAGTAGTAGTAAATAAGGGAAACACGCAAACGTCGTGCGGGGAGAAGAAGAAACGATTGAAAATATTTGCCAAGCCGCATACGCAAAATAACAATAACCAGTCATTGACGCAAACCGTCAAGCAGCAGCAGCTGCAGCAGACGCAGACAAGCTGCACATTAATAATTTATATCGCCTTGTATGCAATGTATGCGCATTCCTCTCCACACTCTTCAAAGCCACGCTATTCTTCCCCCGCCCCCCTCTCAGCCGCACCGCCCGCTGCGACGCCGCGTTTGCCGTGCCTTTTCACTACCGACTTCCAAATCCGTCTATGCCGAAGGCGCGTTGTACGTTCGCAGACGCTTAAAGTGGCTCTCGATCATTTTGGTGAAGGCCGACTGAAACGCCGCAGCCCACGCCGCCTCATCCGCCGCGTACTTCTCAGTCAGCTCCCGCCAAGTTTTGTTGTGTAGCAAAGCCTCCACCTCGCGCCGGTTAAAGACGCACTGCCGCTTCTTCTTCTTCTTTTCCACCTGTGCGTAGACACAGACAAAGTCCTTTGGCAGACGCTGGATGGCCTTGTTCTCTTCCGTTCGGGGCACCTCCAGCTCAAAGAAGCGCTTTTCATTCGCTAAAAGAAATTTGTAGTACTCGTTGCTGAGTCTGTACCGGCGGCCGATGTGCGACACGTCATCGAGCCCGCTTACGTGCTCGTGGAACTCCCCCACGCTGTGGCACGCCATGAGGGCGACGCACTCCTCCGCCGTGAGGCCGCCGAGCCCCGCAATGATCGTCGGGACCGCAATGCAGCCGGAGTCGCCGTCGGCAAGCTGCTTCTTCCGCGGGGCCGCGGCTTCCGTGTCGTTGCGTCCCCACCGCCAGCCGCTCTCAATCGCGTCGGCGGGCCCCTTTAAAAACTTCACACCCGCCACCGCCAAGAGCGAGGCGGCGTCCTCCGTCGAAAGTCTGTGCACCGTCGCAAGTTGGCGCAGCACCCCCGCGATGTCCTCCAGGCCGCTGACGACGGCGCACGACTCGTCAATGTTGTCTGTGGCAAACCCCGCACGGCGGGCGGCAAGGAGAAAGGCCACACGGATGCTTGTCGCGGCCAAATCGGGTCGGAACTCAAAGGTCTTGTCGATGTCTGCAAGCACAGACGCCTTGGAAAACGGCGGTCGCAGCGCATTCTCGTCCACGTCCACCACCTGACCTGCCGCAAGTCCCCCCGCAAGGCAGCCAATGCACATCATAATGAGCCACTTGTGGTTCAGGTGCTCCCATGACTTGTACGGGTTTGCCTGTCGCTGCTTTGCGCCGTTCCCCGCGCCGCCGCCGGCACTCGCCGGAGTTCTGAAGTGACGGCCCGCCGCTGCGCCCGCTAACGTCGACGTCGACGACGAAGACGACGACGGCGGCGTTGAGCCGTAGAAACGGGCGGCGCAAATGAACGCGGCGAGCGGCGTGCGCAGGGGCTTCCACATCGACAACGCGTCCAACGGTCGGTGGGCTGGGGCCACTCGGATGGTTGCCTCGCCTCCCTCGTCCCCGGAAGCGCCTCGACTGCGAGAAGAAGAAGAAGAAAAAAAAGAAGGAGGAAATAATTGTAGTAAAAGTAAAAAAAAAAAAAACAGAAACGAAAGGCGACGACGATTGCGAGCCGCACGACGCCTCTCCACCGCCCAGATCCAGAGGTACGAGACAGGCGGCACGCACCCCAAAAACTCACAAATGACGACCAAAAAAAGGAAGAAGGAAAAAGAACGGCAAAACAGTCAATCACGCAGAGCCCGCGACTGCAGCAAGAACAACAGCCGGTACAAAAGCAGCGGCGGCAACGGTCAGTCGTCGTCGCCCTTGACGGTCGTGTCAATAAAATCGTAGCAGGTGTCGAGAATCTCATTCAACGTCTCATCATCTTCCTTCTTGGCGGAGACCGTCATCAGCTCCTCAATTTGAAGGGAGAAGTTCCGCACCACGCCGAGGCAACACTTCCGCACGAGATCCCGCATCGTGCACTCCTCCAATTTCTCGAGCAGCGTCGCCCAGGCCTCCAGCAGGTCGGAGGACGCCGTGCTGAGCATGTCAAAGATGCGACCCATGACAGGCGGGATCTCCGACATGCCGCTTTCAATCGCCACATTCTCGCACTCAAGCTGAACACGGAGGAGCACAACGAGAAAGTCGAGCGCACCATGAATCATTTCGCCCACCTCACGCAATGCGGACGGTGAGAAACGCGGCGTGCTTGCGGCCTGCTCTAACTGCTCCTGAATGCGCTTCGCAGCGCTGTGGATGCGGTCAACTGTGTTAAACAGAAGAGACTCCACCTGCCGCGACCCCGGACACCTCGCAAAGGCCTCCATTAACTGCACACAGGCCCAAAAGAAGGTGGCGTAATTGGAATCTGCGGTCAAAGAGTGCAGAAAAAGCAGAATAGGCTTCAGCCCCAGCCAACCAAAAATGCCACTCTCCCTTTTTTCTAAGCAAGCCTTCTGATACCCATTCACCGTGGCAATGACCTGCTGGTACTGCTCAATGCCCATACCCAAGATTGTTAGCTGTACCCGAACCGCCTCCTGAGCTGCCAGTAAGTTAGACAAAAACTGCTCTTCGCGCCGCTTCGCCTGCCGCGGCGGAAGTCCATCCGTCATCAGCGGTTCCTGCACGACTATCAAAAGTCGGCGTGTCAATGTGGGGGCCAGGACGGTGCCATCCTGCTGAATCAAGAGCGACAAAAAGGCACGCACAAAGTCCTCTCCCTCCGTAAAGTTTTCCCTCAGCAGCATCCTGGCAATGCCGCACGCGGTATCCGTGTCCACAAGGTCAAGATTCCCGGCATTGGCGGAGAAGAGCTGTAAGCCACTAATAACCGTTTCGGGGTCACCGGTGTGAAGGACGCGTTGCAGCAATAAGTTAAGCCGCAGCGCCTCAACCTTCTTGAGATCCTCCGGGTTGGGTTTGGTAATATCACGAACTTTTCCCAGCGGCAGCGTCATGCAGAGTCGCTCGCTCGAACGAGTGAGGAGGTCGTCAAACACCTCGAGGGCCTGTGAATAGGGTGCCGCCTCGACAGCAACAAGATGCCCTGTGTTCTCCTCAATCATCTCCTTATAGTCTAACTTTGGAACCACCATGACGTCCGTGAGGCCAACAAGGGCCATTGCCACCCCTGTCTCTTTGCGCGTGAAGCGCTCCATGGCACAGTCGGTGATAATTTCATACGCCTCCCGCAGTCGCCTCGCGTAGAGGAGCCCCACGCCTCGCTTTTCCCGTTCCCGCAAATGCGGTGTGCCCTCGTCGGCGTGCTGCGAGCGAACGCGGCTGGTCACCGACGGCGCCAGCTCTGCGAGGGCCGCACACGCGAGACCCGTCAGCGTCAACTCACCGCCGGCAGTCACGCCAAACAGGCGCTGCTCCACGGAGGAGACAGTGGCGGCGAGGTCAACGACGGGGTACTTGTACTGTCCACGCCCCACGCAGTGCGTCGGGGCAAACCGCAAGTTCCACAGTGCCACAGTGCCATCCATGCCACCGGTTGCCAGAAGATCCGAGTGAAGTCGGAGCCAACGCAAGGAGGCAACATCGCCCTGAAGGGACGAGATTGTGCGCACGGCGTGATCAGGAAACCTACAATCAAAGATGGAGATGGTCCCGTCGGACGATGCCGCCGCCAACACAAACGGCAGCAACGCGTTGAAGTCCGCGCATCGAGCCATACACCCACGGCGCATTGGCAGTGATAAACTGCTTCCCTCAGTGTCACTCGCTCGGGTGTCCGTTAGAAGAAGGCTTCCCTCATAACTGCCTGTGAGAACAACGGAGTCGCTGTGCGGGGCCCATTGAGCAAAAAGCAGGACCTCAGTTTGACTGCTATTCTTTGCCCCAGGGCTCACGCCTGGGGCCCAGGCCCGAATAGGAGACGCATCCCCCTCCATATCCCACACCATCGCACGGCCATCGACCACTGCAACAACACTGGAGGCCCGCACCTCGGCGTTGCACCGCACACTGCGCACAAGCGTCGACACCGCATGGCTGCTTGGCGCAACGATGATGTCCCCAACCAGAGGCTGTGTGTCCCCAGACACCAAGCACCCGCTGGGGTCAAGTGTTCCACTGCACTCATTCACACTATATGGCCCTGCCTTGGCAATAAAAATGCGACCACGTGTGCTGCCTACGAGAAGATGGTCATCACACCAATCAATGCTGCTCAAGCAGACGTCTGGGGGCAAGTCCAACCAGCGCATGTGCGTTGCTCCTTGAAGCGTCGGCTCGGGCCCCTCGACGGACATCAGTCCAACGCTCCCGCCGGCACCCAATGGATTCAGACCCAATGCTAGTGCACCTTCAGTATTGTGCAGCGACAAGCGCGCGGTGGTAAAGACGGTGCCAGGAGCCGCTAGGGGGCCACTGTTCGCTATGACGCTTGGGTGATTGCGAATAAGACCCTGCAGCTGCGCCTGCATTCGCCATGCAGAGGTCGCGGCATAAAATGGCACCTTAATGATGCTTTCATCCATCTCACATGGAGCCCTCAGGAAGGGAAACACGCACACCGAGAGAGAGAGACAACTAAAAAAGGAAGAAGCGGAGTTTCTTTCTGGAGGAAAGCAGCGTCGTTCCTGCCCTCGTCGTGTCATCGGAACTGGAGCAGACACACACACGCACACACACGGAGATGCAGATATATACATATATATATATATACAAACTGCCTACATTCTTTTTGTGGTAATGTACACAAAAGTGATCAACACAACAAACGGCACCCCGCACCCACACCCTCCGCTAAGCGGCGTGGCAGCTAAGAATTCGCGCGCACAGTGCCTCGGTCTCTACACGTTCGCTTCGCAACAGCTCCAACTCATCTAACGTCTTTTGGACAATGGCTACAAATGACTCCTTCAAAGCAGAAAGTCTCGCGTCGGCCGCATCACGCTCTTTCTGCAGCTCGGCTTTGATTCTGCCCACCACCGCCGCAGCAGACGCTGACGATGGTGCAGCTTCGAGACCAGAAGCATTTTCCAGCCGACGACGCATCACCCCCTGGGCCCTTCGCATGTCCTCCACGCGAGATATGAGTCGCCCATCCTCTTCACGGGTGCTAGCGGAAGAACCCGTCTCCTCTCCAAAAACACTGGCCGCCTCCTTCATGACAGCCTCAGGGCGGCGCAGAATACACTGAGCAGTGTCCTTGTTGCCTGCAAGAAGTCGTCGCAGCGCCTGAAGATGGTCCTCTCCATCTACCTGGAACTGCACGGTACAGGCCTGCACCTGCTCCATATCGGTGTGCACTTGTTCCATCGCGAGCAGCAACTTCCCGCGCCTCTCCACACCGCTCTCCTGGTAGCGGCGTAGACGTGACTCCAACTGCCGCAACATGCCTACATTCGCGTCCCACTTCTCCTGAGGCGGCGACAACGCACCACTCACAGCTGGGCACGGGGGGAAACCCGCGGCGGTACCGCCAGCAGACCGCAACTCGGGAACGCCGCGCAGCAGCATTTGGTAGGGGACAGCAGCTGCAGTGTGTGGTTCAACCGATCGCATGCTTTGAAGCTGCGCACGCAACAGCGCGAGGCCCGGCGCCGCCTCCTCCTTGAGGCCGCCGAAGGGAGACGACATTCCCTCGCCGTCGTTTCTGTTCCCTCTTTTGGGTGAGTATCTGGGTTTGAGGCGACGCTCCGCGTTTGCCGGGAGCGGCGTTCGCCTGTATTCCGCTCCACGCTGGCGAGCGCAGCCAATAGAAGGAAAGTGGAGTCGGAAAAGAAGAGAAAAAGTTGCAGAGGCGCAGTGAGGACAGCCACCGCAGCGTCGAGCGGGCACTGACTTCGTCGCATAGTTAATTTTGGCCTCGCCGCCTCCGCCGCCGCCCCGCGCGACGTGCCGTTGCAGAGAAGTGGGTGGGAATTGCAAAAAAACTGGGCAGCAACGAGAAGCAGAGAAAGACGGGTCACACACCAACTCTCCTCGCAATCAGTGCCCCCTCCCCGCCATGGGGACTTACGCCCCGCCGGAGAAAAGGAAGGAAGAAAGTAAAAAAAATACGTGGGCCAGGAAAAAAAAACAGCAGCGGCAGGAGGGAGGATGGAAGTTAAAAACAAAAAGACGAGAGCAAACAAAACGACAGGGGGTAGGAAAAGCAGCAACTACATACATACACACACACACAGAGGGAGAGAGAACGAGGGAAAGAAGGGGGCCTGCAGAGGCACACCTCCCCCGCACCCGTTGGCCACGTCCTTCCCCCGCCGTTAAGAGCGACGGAAAAGGCATGTGGAGAAACGCCGCCTCCCACCTCTTTAGTTTCCCAGTGCCTGCATCCGCACAACACCAAAGCTTGGCTTCGACGCTCCTCTCGTTGAGGCCGTGTTTTTTTTTTGTAATTCCACCCGCACGAAGTCATCCTCGCCGCCGCGTCAAGGCGCAAACAGAAAAACACAAACGTACTCATGCGGATACTCAAAAGCAAACAAACAGGAAAACAAAAACAAAAAAGCCTCCACTCCTCACTTCTGTCATTTTCGCCTGTGTGTCGCTTCAGCGGAAGTGGCGGTTTTGGGGGTGAAGCGCCCCTACGACAAGTTCGTGGAGGGCTCGCATCGCCGACAGCCTCAGATGCGTGAGGTAGAAGAGGAAGGACGCGGTGACAACAGGAAGGAGGGTAAGCCCACGGAACTCCCTCCAAGCCAGCGAGAGAGGAAAAAGCATGAGAAGGAACAGGCACCCACCTGTGATGAAGTCTTTCGCGTGCCGCGTAAGGCAAAAATCCAACAAGAAAAGCAGCGTGAGCACCACAAGACTTGTAAGCACAGGGATAATGGCGAATAGAACATACGTGCGCCCACCGTACTCGACATACTGAAGTATGCAAAATATGGTTCCTGCAAACAACGCGGGATAGGCGTAAGGAACATTTGATAATAGAAACGTCATAATTGCCTTGGGCCTAAACACAGTTCGCTGCTCCGTAATTTGTTGCTTGACGTCGGGGGCAACGTAGGACAGCAAAACATACAGCTGCCACATACTAAGTGAAGCTATAGGGGTGATACCGCAGAGAAGCCATGGAAATCGCTCAGCACGGCTAAAATTGATCTGCACGAGGAGAGTCGGAAGGGCGACGCAGGCAATACCAACAACGATGGCCGTGGCGGAGCGGGCAATAAGCGGACTGTTTTTTCTCAATCGGCAAAAAAGCGGTTTCGGTTCAAAATGTGTCTCCATCACCACATTGGCAAGAACAATGACAATGATGGAAAGATACGTCATCCATAGGAGGAAGAAGGCCATGTTTGGTGAGCATACGACGCCCAAAGCGATCCCCTCCGCCAGGCACACAGTGGTGGCGAGAAACAATGAAAACGACAGGAGCGCCCACGAAACGAACACATGTAGTACAAGCACACGCCTTCGTTGCACATACTCATAGTAACTCCTGCTTTTCAAATAGTGTTTCACCTCCTCCATGGCCTCCCGCACGGTTCTATTGGTCGGTGCAATGAGAGGCTTCATGGTGTCGTGCTGAGTGATGAACTGTTCGGGGGCCCCCAATCGCCGCATTCGGTTCAGTAGTTGCAAGTCAGACTGATCTAGCGGTGCGCTGTGTAGGCGCTGCACCAGTGGATAGGCCACAAATATCCTTTTCGATATAAATTCCCACATGACAGTGTGTTGGCACGCGCAATTCCACCGCCAACAAACACCTGAAAGCACCCCAATCCAAGCAAAGTCGTAACTGTCACTTGCAATGATCTCCATGAAGATACGGTGCAAAATCTCAATGGGAAGACGATTCACATACGCGACTGCGCAGACAGCCATCGCCCGCTTCTCGGGCAGCGTCTCACTGCTCAACCCACCGCGAGAAAAAATGGATCCCAACGATGAGGCCAACGAAGAACTTAGACTCATGTTTTGCCACCCGCAGAAGCCTTTGCGTGGGCACACACACGCGCGCAAAAAACAGCAAAACAAAACTCAGCCTCCGCTTTATGAAGATATGTACAGCTGTATCTTAACGGACCCTAAACGTCTCCAATACGTGTTTATAGGTATAGGTGTATAGCTGTATAGCTATATATATATATATGGAGAGAAGACAAACTAGAACCTGTGCCAAAGAGCTAGAAGCAAGAGAGAGCAAGAGAGAGAGAGAAAGAGAGCTTAAGATGACAAAAAAAATAATAAATAAGTAAAAGCTAAGAGATCCTGGAAAACAGTATGAAATAAAAAAACACCCGGGGAGACAACGCAACATATATTTGAGATCGCCCTCATTTCTCACGTGTCTCCCTTGCCAAAAATTTTGTTGAACAATTAGCCAGACAGAGGAAAACAACACAACCACAACAGCTAAAAATGATACAGCGAGAAAGGTATATACACAGAAAGGGGGAGATGGAAAGCAAAACTCCGGCTTTCTTTTCCTTTTTTTTTTCGTCGGTTCCCTCCTTTGTCATTCGTTGACCGCGTTTTTACTGAGGGCCGGCGACCCTTCCTCATTCCCCAACCCCTCGCAAACAGGACAACCGGTTGGAGTGGTGTCGGATAACGTCTTAACGGCAGCGGAAGTACTGCTGCGCCTTAGAGACCGGCGAGCGTCGACAACGTCGTACCGTGTGCCGCACGCTGGGCATTCCCACGCCGTCGTCATCGCCTGTGTGAATTGCGGTGACGGTTGTGGTTGTACAGCGGGGGGCCGGTCTTTGGCTGCGGCGGCGTCGGGGAGCCCCCGCTTGTGACGCGCCTCCACTTTGTTTTGCACCAACTCCCGCCACTCCCCCGACGCTGCCTCAGCGGACGCCAGTGCCGCATGGACGTCCCCGACGCTGGCGCCCTCAATGGTGGAGGCGATCATCCCCGCCAAGGCGTCTAACATCTCCCGCTTCTCAGACGCCGAAAGGACCGCCGCGTCGCGGGCGCATGCCTCTGCCCCCGCCTCCATCCACCTTCGGGAAGGCGGACCGGGGAAAATAGAAAGGGCAAAAATGCAGAACAGGTAACCAACAAAACACACAAAAAAAAGAGAAGGAGAGGGGAAAAAGAAAAGACAAGAACAAATCACAGCTCAATCTGAAACGGCCTGGGAAAGTCACAAACACACGCGCATAAAAAGTGGATGTGGAGTGAAGGGGATGGCCGCCAGGTGACGATAGGTCCCATATGCTTTATTTACGTTCTTCGTCGTTCCTCTTTCCTATGTGCGGGCAAGAAAAAGGATGGAAGCGCGAGAGAGAGAGAAGGGTAAAGTTTCAGCGTCAAAGACAGCAATATTACATTTATCCTGCTTTTGACCGCAGTACACAAATGCCAACTTCGCTAGTCATCCACGCATTGTCACGCCCCTGACGTTGTTGCTGTCGTTGTTTCCTTCGCTCTTTCCTTCCCTTGTTCGGTTCCTGTTGGCGTGTGCGCCGCCGCCCCCTCCCCCCCCCTCCCCTCTCAGACACACACTCATACACACACGACACGCGCGTTTCCCCCCCCCTTTTTGTTTTGTGTTGTTTTTACTTCCGACCCCAAGGACGCCGCGGAGCAGACGGAGGTGAGCAGAAGCAAGTGTCTGGGGCGTTTGCTCGCGCTTGCACCCCGGCCCGTGCCAGTCACCGTTCAAAGAGCGCCTGCACGACGCTGCCGTGATTTGCGCGTGTATGCCCGCGCAGTGCAAAACACATGCGGCAGAGAAAGCAAAAAAAATAATAATAATAATAAAATAAAAAAAAAGAGGGGCAACGGAAGAAAGACACGCGAGAAACAACACCAACAACAAACCAGACAGTGTAAAAAAACTTCATACAAAACAGTGAAGTGATGGAACGGAAGGAAAAGCAGGCGAGAAAGTGAAGGTGCAAGGATGAGGATGCGAATACGAGTAATAATAATCACGACGCTGACAAGCATCATAAAGCTATATGGCGAGCGATATAGGTACATAGTGAAAGTATGAGACGCTGCGCAAAGTTCACCTCTCCTTTCCCTCCTTCGCCCCCCCCCTTTTTTTTTGTTATCTTCTTCTTTCTTTTCATTTGTTTGGTTGCTTCGTTTTTTTTGTTTTGTTCATGTTGTTTTTGTTTTTGTTTTTATTGCTCCTGTGACGCAGTCTCCTCCTTTGATTCCTCTTGGGTGCTGGTACTCGCCCTCCGAGCTCTTAAGGTGTGGTGAGGGCATTGCGCGCTGGAGAGAGGCAACTTCAAATAAGTAAACAGCACCCGCTGCTGCTGCTGCCTGTTCCCTTTCTTCTGCCTGCCGACGCGTTGTCATGGCCCTTCTCTTGCGCCCCCGCATTGCTGGACCGTTGAAAGACCAAATGCATGAGCAGCCACTTCGGTTCTTCATCGTTGCGTTTGGGCGTTCCTGCGCTTACGCTACAGTCCTGCATCTCGGTGGAGGTGATGACACTCCGCAGCGAGGCGTCGTCCTGGAGAAGCTTCCCCGTCCGCAGGATCTTCATCTCTACAGTCTTGATGGCCTCTTGCATCTCCGACAGGTCGCTCGGCCACTCCCTCCGTATCTGGCTCTTGAGGTCCATCGTCGTCATCGGAGAGCCGTCGTCACGGAAAATGGGCACCTGCAGCTGCAGCTGGCGCCCCGAGTACGCCGGGTAGCAGGCGCCGCTGAGGACAAGTCGCACACGAACAGGCCCGCCAACACTCATCGCCGCGAGTATCCTATCACCTCCAACACAAAAGAAACTGAAAATAGGAAAGGGAATGTGGGTGGGAGTACACGCAGTGAAGCAAAGGCATCAGGCGAGGAAGAAGAAACAGGAGGCTGAAAAAAAAGGCAAAAAGCAAGACACACTCCAAGAGCACGCCTCATTCACCAGTCGCGAAAAAGACGAGAGTTGATCCAAGCACACTCAAACACACACACACACCGACATATATATATATATATATACATATTTATGTATTAATATGTATTTGTCGCAACACAAGCGCTGACACACCGCATTCACCGATACACGGGACCACAGAAAAATGACGCCAGATAAACTTACTCCTAAAAGGCTGTTTCGCACACCTCCTTGTTATGTTGGGGTGCAGGAGCGTCTTCGAAAGCTACGCCACGACGACGCGCTGGACCATTGTAATCAAATGGAAACATGCCATTGTACTTTGCCCATGGTTGGCGACGGGACTTTGAATAGACCGTGCCCACCAGTTCCCTGCCGCTACGTACACGATTCCGCACCTGTTCATCTATCATGCGCTTTCTACTAATGAACTTCGCTTCACTTCGGTGCCATCCCCAGAGCGCCCACATATCGCACGGCATCGGCTTTGCTCCCTCCTCGTTCACCGACAGGTAGCCTGACTTTGCTGTGAAGGAGCCTAACCGTTCCAGTTGATCCATCCACATTTGAAATTCGGTATCAAGTCGCATCACAGCACTCAATGCATCCGTCTTTACGCCCTCCTTAAAATACGCCTCCGCCTTTTCACGGGGTGCACCAGCTAACCGCACGGCCAGCATCATGTTCACGTACGTCTGTGCGTTTGGCTCGAGTCCAATAGATCGCATTTCTCCTAGCAGCTGTTCACAGCGCGGGAGATCCTTGGCGAACGCGGCGGCCTGCATCACCGCATTGTAAATATAGTGGTCAGACCCAAACCTTTTGATGTGATGCCGAAAAATGTCATTTACGCGTTCCATGTATTGTTTTGGGTCACTTTCTACTTTTGGCATCAAATGAACCACAACCTTCTCATTGTGGAGCCGCGTCCAGAAGGCCTCGTCACGATTTTTCAAATACAGACGGAACATCGCCTCGGGGGTCAGTTCAAAGTTGTCCCCGGCGTTGTAAAAACCCACCTCCTTCGGCCACTTGGTGTACCCCAGCAGGTTGAACTGGAGCTCGTGCCACGCGTTCGGGTGACGTCGCGGGAAGGCGAGGTTGAGGGGCACAAACTGGTCGAGCACGCGCTCCGACAGCTTTGGGCGCCACGCAAGATTTTTCCCACCACGCCGGGTGCGGCCCGGGTTGTGCGTCCAGCCCTTTTTGAGGAGGGTCCCGCTGCCGCGCAGCATTCACGCGGAGCAAGCAAGCGAGAGAGAGTGAGGGGGGGAGCTACAAATACTTGGAACGTAAAACGGCAAGAAAAAATAATAATAATCATAAATAACGAGGAAAACGTGATAGTAAAGCAGAGTAACGAGAAGCGACCGTTGTTAAGTTTTTTATTTTTATGCATTTACCTACTTCTGCAGGCTAGCCAACTCCGGTGCGACGCACACTGCCGCTGACCCGTCCACCCCCTCCTCTCTCGATCCCGGCGAGCCCTTGACGCAGAGAGGCAGGTGGGCACCACTGTCCCACGTGTGCTTGCAATAAGTATACATTTGCAGCAAGGAATACGTGGCAGATGACTTTCAGGTTGTAAGCAAAGAGAAACTTCAGAGTTACACGGAAGAGCAAAGGACAGCCGCATGTATTCGACTAAAAGGAAAGGTTGAGGCGATCACCAAAATTGTTCAAAAGGGTCAACTGCTCAAATTCATCAAACGTAATGTACCCGTCACGGTTCAGGTCCACCTCAATGAACGTTTTGTCAACAATCTGCTGCAGCTGCACCTCCGTTAGGTTCGTTCCCACCATGATCTTCAGAGTCTCAAAGAGGTCCCTGTTGCTGATCTTGTCGTCTCCATCAAAGTCATACATCTTGTAGGTGAAACGCAGCTTCTCCCGCTTGTCGGCCTGTGGGGAAAAAACAGCCAGGGCCTTCGCAAACTTCGCAAAATCGATTTTCCCATCACCAGTTGAATCCAACACTTTCAATACGCGCCCAAGGAGAGGGTTTGAGGCCACGGAGGCAATAGAGCTGAAAACCTCTGCCGTAATAGTTCCCTGACCAGCCCGGTCAAGCATCGTGAACCGTTGGTGCAGCCGAAGAATTTGTGCCTCGGAAAGAGCCGTTGCCTCCTGCAACTTCCGCATCTCTTCCGGGGTGAGAGAAGACGCCTCGCCCATGCTGCAACTCCCTCCTCTTCTAGTTTCTTCCCACTCACCTCTTCCTGTTTGTATGTTTGTAATGTTTATTGTTGTTGTTGTTTCTTCGTTATTTCCTCCTTCTTTCGCTGTGCGTGCAGGTGTGGGCCGCGACAACCAGCGCCGGTAGTAGTATTACGATGGAAGGTTGCGGGGCAGGGACACGAAATACGCCCGCCGCTTGTGGCGGCAAACCTGCAACCCTCACGGTGTCCTCCGCTTGCCTTCAGCTGCCGTCGTCGCCACCACGCCAAGAGCAACGGCGAAGACACACGCACAAGAAAAAAAAAAGAATAAGAAAAAAAGAAGGAATACAAGCACCTTTAGGGAACCATGTGCACTTTTCCCCCACCATCACCCCCGCGCCCATTTGCCTTCTCAATCTCTGTGCTTCTGCGGAAAAGAGGGGCCGGCGACTAAAGCCTCAATAGCAGCTGCGTCGCCTTCGCATCAGGAAGTATACATAGCGAAGTCAACAGGGCCCATCACGATGACGACTTGCCGAGGTGGGGCCCATCCATGTCAATCGACTCCATGACAGCGTACAACTTGTGGGAGGCGCAAAAGACGGCGCGCGTCGCCTCTGGGGTGAGTAACCGAGCACCGTCGACGATGCGCAGGTCCACACCGTTCGTCACCTTGAGCGCAGCGGCCAGCTTCTCCCACTCCACTCGCAAGTTCCCAAACAAATTCAGCTCCGCCCATGCAAAAACAACCTTGGACGTCAGCGTGGCCGCAGAGATCACGCCTGTACCATCCGGATCAAACGCTCTGAAAAGCGCATCTACGTTTCGATCCAGCGCCGGGTGGAAGGCATGCTCGACAAGGAAGGAGAAGAAGGAAGATAGAGGCAGCGAATCCTTTTCATCACCGGAAAGCAGCAAGTAAAACATTCGCTGCAAGTACTCTCGGCTCACCATATTGGGCACCAACCGCTCGCAAACGCCATAGAATTCATCAAAACTCAGCTGCAATGCCACATCGTCGAGAAGCCCATCCTGCAGCCTTTCCCACATCACCCCCTTTTGCTGAACGAGAGCGTCACAGGTGTCGTACAGGGGCACATCACATAAAAGACCAACGATGGGGTTGACATCCAACGGGGCGGACGAAAATGAAGGAACCCGCGATGACCGTGGACAGTGCCGCGTCTCGAACCACTCCAACTCCTTCGGTGCTTCAGCAATCAAACGCGGCGTGTGGTTGCTGTCAGCTGCGGCAGGGACTGATGCACACATGGCCCTTTTCAAAAAGTAGTCCATAGAGTTTTGTAGGTATTCAGCCTCTTTGACTGACCCAGCGCTAAGTGAGGCGGGTTGTTTTCGCCATTTGCCCGTACTCACCTGCAAAACGTAACGTGGTGGCGGCGGCTGCTGCATAGCAACCGGCGCGGGTTAGTATATGGATAAGTAAGTACTAATGAAGACTGACTGTGTGACTGTAGGTGGCAAGTAGGTGTCCGCTGGCTCCGTACCGCTATAAGGCCCTCACTGGCAATGCGTGTTTACTTCCCCCGCACCCCCGCGCAGAAGCAGACCTCCCCCAATCCCCTTCCGACGGGGACCCAAACGCTGTCGTGTGCGCTAGCGGCGAGCTGGGGGCAAAAAGACAGAGAAATAAACCAAAAGGAAGGGACAGCGGCAGCCGCACATCTGCAATGCGACGCACACAGCGAGACACACAGAAAGAGAGGGAGTGACAGACGCCACAGAACCAACTGGAGGTGTGCGAATACGCGCAAGGACTCCGTTCACAACCTCCGACAAACACAAGGCGGCTCTTCCCCTTTGCACCATCATCACCGACACTGGCAAAAAAACAACAACGTAAACAGCAGCCTAAGCAAAGATACACGCCCTCAAAAGCGGCAACAACAGCAAAACAAGGCGCATATATATATATATATATATGTGTGTGTGTGTGTGTGTGTCTCTCTCTCTCTCTCTCTCTTTGAGTGTGTGTGCGTGTGTGCTGCAAGGCAGAGGGTAAAGCTTTGACTGTATATGCCCAGACATACACGCACGACCCGTTGTGTCTTTGTTTGTGATTATGTTTATTTTTTTTTATTGCGTCTTTCGTTCCCATTTCCG